CTCTACTGAATGTAATGTACCAGGCTCTGCTGACTCCCCATGGGAGACCTTACCTTCTTGTAGGAGAGAATAGGGGATGGGTTGTGGGGCAGGAAGGCTGGAGGAGCAGGAGGAGGGAAGAGGATGATCTGTGATTAGTATATAAAATGAATAAAAAATTTCTTAAGAAAAAAAAGATAAACTTATGAGAAGTGATCCAACAAAAGGATATTAGTGAAATGGGAAGAAAATAATATCCCTATCAGTGTGATTTATGCTCAGATAACAGCAAGGGAATGCTATCATAAGTGTCTGTCACCTTGATCTATTGACCCTATTATCACACACACACACACACACACACACACACACACACACACACACACACACACACACACCACACACACTGGTGATGGTTTTACGAAGTTCAGTCCTATTTTAGTGAATCCTGCCTATCTTGGTTATAATTAGTCATGCTATCTTCTCCTCTCCTGCCACCTGATTGTTAATGTCACATCAGTAAAAGTAATAAGCAACATGGTGCCAGTTTAGCAGGGTGACATGTCTCAGTTTCAAGCAGTCATTTTGCATCTTGAAGAAAGGCAATTAAGGCAGCCTATCAGGATTGCTGTTTCTGTTTCACTTCCTCAGCAGTCAGCCATGGTAGCTTGTGCTTTGCCGTCTGTCTTGCCTTGAGTGTATATGTAAGAGTCTTTCTCCAACTTAAGTAATAATTGTGCACTCCTGATTCCAGGCAGCAAGTCAGGCTTTCGTGTCTTTCTCACAGGAAGTCAGTCCTTTTACAGATGGACTGAACATTCCAGTTGCTTCTGCCTGCTTTTGGATTCCAAAGCCTTCTGGACCCAGTGTCTCACCTGCTTATTCCATTGTATTTGTTCGTTTATTTTTAACGTTTCTGGTCCCCAGAGCTCTTTGACTGCTTTCTGAGCATAGCTTTATCCTTTCAGTCAGTTCTTTCTATGTTTAACTGTCACTGCTCTTCCCTGTGAGCAGACAAGTCTACAGAGTACCAATTTGCAATACTGCTTTTACTTGAAGTTCTCCAATTTTGTCTGAACTGACTTTTCCCATTGCATTTCCAAAACAGCTGCTTAAAGCAAAGGCTCAAGTGACTCTGTTTATCTAAATACATCAGAATTTTGCATCTTTTGAGTTTAGGATGAGAAATTGAATCTCTATCCACAAGAGCATTCTATTTATAAGCTAGTGCTGTTCTGCAAGAGAAGCCCCGAATAAATCATTCATTTCTTTCATTTTAGTTGGTGCATGAGGCTAATTCTGTGAGAGAATATATTAAATATGACTTTACTGTATTTTTTTTTTTACTCTTTGGGGGCCAGCCACCCAGCTCGCAAATAAATACACAGAGACTTATTCTTACTTATGAATGCACAGCCTTAGCTTGGCTTGTTTCTAGCCAACTTTTCTAACTTAAATTATCCCCTTTCTCTTTAACTACATTTTGCCTCTGGGCTTTTTACCTTTCTTTATTCTCTATATATCTTTCTTTCCTTCTTACTCCATGACTGGCTGTGTGGCTAGGTGGCTGACCCCTGCTGTCCTTCTCTCCTTCTCTTGTTCCTCACTCTCTTCCCTACATTTCTCCTCCTATTCATTCTCTCTGCATGCCAACCCTGCCTATTCCTCTCTCCTGCCTAGCCATTTGCAGTTCAGCTCTTTATTAGACCAATCAGGTATTATAGGCAGGCAAAGTAACACAGTGTTACAGAGTTAAACAAATGCAACATAAGAGAATGCAACACATCTTTGTATCATTAAACAAATATCCCACAGCATAAACAAATGCAACACATCTTAAACTAATATTTCACATTTACCATCTTAAAAATTTCATATACACACATCAGAATTATATGAATTTCTTATATACACTTATATACATGCATGTACATACACAGAGACACACACACCTTGATATTGATTTATTCCCAGTTTGCAGAAATTCCCAGAGAAAAGTCAAACATCCTTATTTTTCCTGATTCCATTTTGAATCACTTAGTGTGTTGATGTTTATGGGCATTGAGTATCTGTTGCATTTGCTTGGACTGAGTAAAACCATTTGTGAAAATAGAAGTTATGGCTTTTGCTTTAACATGTTTTCAACTCAAGCATTTGTCTATTAAAATAACATTTTAGCATTTACCATCAATGAAGAGTTGCCCTCCTGCTGCATTTTGGAAAAAGGAGATGGTCTCCTTTCAATAAACATGAGCATTAGGCATCTCTGTTTGACAAGATACTATTGTGTATTCCTTATGCTGCTGTACTAAGAGCAGTGGAAGAATTAAACAGAGACTACTGTCATTGTTCTACGAGTATTCTGCATGGAGAATGATCTATGGCAGCTGAGGATGACCTTGAAGTTCTGATCCTCCTGCCTCCACCTCCTAATTACTGGGATGATGGGAGTGAGCCATCTGTTGACCCTGTTATGTGCTACTGGAGTACTGAAGCCAGGCCTCCATGAATGCTAGGCTCTCGTGCCCAAACTCCTCTGTGTCTCCAGCTCCAAAGCAAGGAATTTATTTTAGACTGAATGACTACTAAGAGAGGAGAAAATTAAAAAAAAAAAACAACTGTAAATCTTAACTGAAAATGTATAGCTTCAACATATATATAAATTTAAAGAATTGCTTTTATTTTATTTAGTGTGTGTGTGTGTGTGTGTGTGTGTGTGTGTGTGTGTGTGTGTGCGTATGCATGTATGTCCATGTCCCTGTCTGTGTGAGTGCATGACTGCACCAGCCAGAACAGGATATTGGATCTCCTGGAGCTAGAGTTACAGGAATTTGTGAGTCACCCAACATGGATGCTAGGAAATGAACTCTGATCCTCATAACAGAGCATCACATGCTCTTAACAGCTCTAGTCAGCAAATATTGTAGGTTTTAATTATTAATAATCAGCTAGAAAACTTCTCACCAACTAACAAATTGATTTTGTTCAATTGTACTCAAATATTATTATTTTTCCGGTTACTGAGAAAGTTTGACAATATTTGAATACAAGGATCTCTTCTCATATTTTATTGGGGACCCAGTATTCCTGAAAACTGCTGAAGTTGGCCTTGGGGACCACAATTTGTAGCCCAGAAGAGAACATGTGGTCACTGTAAGTGCCATTTTGGTGTTATAGAGAGCTGGTGAGACTTGACTGTGCTTTTATGGGTATCCTTCACTGGTGACAACGTCTATGGTACAAATGATTAAGAGCATTGTGTTTGCTTTTATTCTCCTTGTAAATGTGCCCTATAAGCATGCACTGTGTGTTTATGTAAGGTGTTAGGAGCGCACAAAAGATTGTTCTTCCCAATTCAATAACAATCCAGTAAGGAAAATGAACCATCGGTGAATTTCAGGAAAACTGTCTTTACCTCTGTCTGTGTCACTTTGATTTGAAGCTTACTGAATGTTCATTCTTCATTTTCAGGATGGGGATAGAGGACTGAGTTTTCTCCATCTGCTTCTGTAGCAAAGTGAATTTTTGTCAATATAGCACAACAAAAACAAAGACTTTTCTCATTGAATTATATAGTGAATATAGTCCTCATTTAGAAAGATAAGTTTTTAGGATGTCTTATGAGAGAGTACCAAATGTGCAAAGCAAACCTTTAGAGCTCATTCAGATCTTAAAATATTAGGTTAGATACAAGTTTAAATATTAAAAGGCCCTGAAGCATAAACCAAGTGTTGGTTGCTGTGGTCATTTGGGATTACAACTGATCACTGTGCTGGCATCGCTCCAGTGGATCACTTGTGGTATTTAGTAAAAATGTGATAGCGAAAGTCTCCACACTGATACATAGAAGCTTTCCAATATTGTTATTTTACAAAGAATACATAAGTGTGCATAGAAAATACATACTCATACCTAGAAAGAAACCTGTTTGCTACCAATAGCTACCTCTGGATAACTGCATGGTACATTCTGCTCTATCTGTGCCGATATTGAATCTGTATATTGTTTTTGGTAGGATGGCCAGTTTTACTGTATTTATCCTACTGATCCATGTGGATGGGAGATCTTTCCATCTTCTGATATTTTCTTCAGTTTCTTTCTTCAATATTTTAAAGTTTTTAATCATACAAGTCTTTCACTTGCTTCCTTAGAGTTACCCCCCAAGATATTTTATATATTTGAGGCTGTTGTAAAAGGTGTTATTTCCTTGATTTCTTTCTCATTCCATTTGTCATTTGTATATAGGAAGGCTACTGATTTTTGGTGAATTAAGTTTAAGTTTGGTGAATTAACTTAAGTTGCTGATATTCATAGATAAATTCCTCTTTAAGTTTTTGACCATTGGATTAGTCTTTTGGTTTGAGGACTAATGTAAGAAGTAGGAAAGGGTCACTAGGTCAAGAAACTAAGAGACAGATCTCAAACAAAGTGAGGAGGAAAGAAAGATTCAACCCCAAACAGGCTTGTGTGAAGCGGCAGACATGAGCACCTCTTCTTCTAAACCCTCTTACAGCCTGCGAGATGGCGCTGAGCACTATCATAAGAAAGATTTGGGAGCCACTGGCTGTGTACATAGGTCCGCAGAGTCACAGAGAATACCCTGACAGGGAAAGCAGGCCTTGTCAGTGACAAATTTGAAGACCCTTGAGCAGCAATAAGCAAAAATTATTAGTAAATACAGGAAATTCAATTAAAACAGAAGGATGCCTATGCCTGACACTGGGGAACTGATGACATCAGTCACAGCTCTGAGTCATTTCCCTGGTGTCCTTTCTGGATGCTGAAGACAGACAATCTGGGTTGTCAAGTGCAGGGCCTTCCCATGTGTTTCCCTAAACTTTTCCTTCCTTTCAAAAGGGAACATCGCACCCATCTCCCTGTCCTCAACTCTACCTCACAATTGTTATATAACCACATGGCAATTGTTCAAAATATTTCTATATATGTTTTTGAAAATGTTAGCATGCAATTATAAGGAAGACCATTATATTTCTAATGAATTATATCAACTTCTCTTCCAGAAATTGATGAGAAGAGGGTGAACAACACTCAAGAAGATGTAAGTTTTCCTATATTTTATATAAATTGTTAAAACACAATTAACTGTGATATATTTACTGTGGTTTTTTTTCTCCTTATTGTGAGGATGAACCCCAGGTGCTAACATACAGGCATACTCTCTGCTGAGCTACATGATCAGCCCAGCATTCTGGAACAGAATTCTTTGGTGCCAATTTACATTAATGTTAACTGTGTGCAGATAATACATAATAACATAAACAGCTAATATAAATAAATATCACTGTGATATAGAAAGTATTCATGTTGTTTTTCCTGAAAGGGCAGTAAAATGGTATGATGAAAATCTCTGCCTCAGATACCTTGCTTCTTGATGAAATGCTAAGCCCTGCAAAAATTTCTAAATTAAAGCATTGATTTTAATTGTAAGATATGCAACTGATAGTTTTAATTTTCCGAGTAATTATATTTACATTGAAATTCAAGAGTAAGGGGATGGAGGCAGTGTCAGGCACATCAGAAAAGCTGTTCAGCTGTTTAGAGCCAAAGTCAGCTCCATAGTCTGAGTCTGGGGCGAATGAGTTCCTCTAGACTCCAGAGCCTCGGTAACCAGAGCTAACGGGTTCACTAAATAACATGTTAGGTGCAAACTCAGTGCCAGTGAACATTGTACATATCTTCCATTTTCCATATCTAAATGGAGAATTTGGATAGGAAGTAGGAGGCAGTGGAGACTTGAGGAGCTGATAGAATGTATACAATATGAAGACCTTACGTAGGCCCAGTAACAAAGAGAGAATGGGTGGACTGTGGGTGTAAGCAGTTTCCATGACATGAGTAAGGATACAACATCCAAAGAGGAAATTCTAGAAAGTGCAAAATACCAAATAACATTTTGTACAGCTTTAAATAATTCACTGAGAAAGTTAATGCAAAAATGCTTTGAAAACTAAGCATTTATGTAAATTTATATAAATATACCTAAGCATTATGTTTCATCGTCATCCTACTAGAAGACAACAAAACTAACTTTCTATGTATCTTAGAATGTGTATATGGAAAAGGACACAAGGAATCTCAGAGGTAGTAGCTACTTATCAAGCTCAGCCTGGCATGGCTGAAGCAAGAACGGTTCCCCTGAATCATCAATCACCCACACAGTTGACATTAGTGTAGACCAGTACCAAAGGACTTTGTTACAAGAACATGCTGGACTGGGCACATGGTTCTGTGTAGAGTGTGCCTGTGTGTGAGGCCCTGCGTTTGACCCTCAGTATAAGGAGAAAAACAATTCTTGGTCAGCCTGTTCATTTGCTAAGTGTTTGGCAAGTGTTTGTTCTCATTTCCTTACCTTTATTTTTTTGATAGATGTATTTTGCATCAGTATATAACCACATCTGGATGATGATTTTGAGGACAATTTAGTTTGCATAAATGTGCCTCAATTCAAATACAAATATACAAATAGTTTCTACTAACTTTCAAACTCTATACCTTGCATTCTTTCGTATATGCATGGAAAGCATAAAAACCACCCCTCAAACATATCTTGTAACTATTTATGCTTGAGGTTTTCTCAGCAAACACCACTGCAGATACCAGAACTCATTAATTGGAACCCTTTTCTTTATCACATTAAAATATAAATAATGTAATTAAAAAAAAAACTTTCCAAGTCTCGAGTAGCCTCAGTATCACAGGATGGTAATGGTTGCCCTTGAACTTCTGACCCTCTTTCCCCCTCTCTAGTGGTAGGATTACAGACATGCACAACTATGTTTTTTGAAGTGATGGAGACCAAAACACAGGCTTCATGTATGCTAGGCAACAGTACATTTCTATTATCTCCATAAATATTATGATAAAATATAAATAAATAATACACTGTATTGTTATATTGTATCAATAAATATAAATTGTTAAAAACAGTCATTTGGACACAATCTGATTGGTGAATGAACTATATTAAATAATGAGAACAATTAATATCTAGAATATATAGATGATTTCATATGATTATAGAATGATAGTTTTGACCATGAAATATGTTATTATTTTTATCATTTTAAAATGTGAAACCTTGTAATAACCTTATCCTGATCTGGGTATTTAGTTAACAGTGCTACATAGCAGTTTGGATAAGAAAGGGCTTACCTTTTAGACAAACAGAAGAATATTACCTTAACATTTTCATTCTGAGTAAAAGCAGGGCTTAGATTAAATGTGACAATTCAAGAGGGTTTGGGATTTCTTTTATGAAGGAAGGACTCTAATTTTCCCTTTGGAACCCTCATTAATTACAGAGGCAGAAAAAATACATGTTGTGTGTGTCTATATCTATATTATGTATCACTGGCATATTTTTGAAGTATACTTTGTCTCAGAACCTATGTTTTTCTTGTAATTGGATTAATATCCATTTATTTCTTTAAAATTAACTAATCTGGGGCAGGCAAGATGGCTTAATAGGTTAAGGCACTAGCATTTGCTACCAAGTCTGACACCCCAAGTTTGATCTCCTAGACCTATAGTGTCAAAGAAGAGAAGCAATACTACAAATTGTCCTTTGACCTAGACACGTACATCATGGTATATGCTTATACACACATATACACACACAAAAGACAAACAATCAAACAATAAAAAAATAAGCAAATGTAATAAAATCATATACAATACTGTTAAACTAATGTTAATAATGAAAACAAAAACCATGAAGAATTTTATGATAAAACAGGCCTTTGGCTTTATATAGCTCAGAGGTCTGTGGTATCATTGGACATATCTATAATTCGTTAAAGCTCTGCTTCTTGACAGGGAGGCATCAGAAAACCTTTGAGACATAGTGCAGTTTTACCTACTTCACATGTCTGGCAGCAATATACTTTTTATGTACGTCTAATGCTTTATCTTTCCTTTTCCACAGTCGAAGAATGCATCCCCTAAACAAAGGAAGCAAAGTGTGTACACACCGCCTGCCATGAAAGGTACTGTCAGGTACCGTTTCTGGGTGTCATGAGGGATGGACATCCTGACTGGCAGACTATTGGTCCCTAAGGCTGTTCTGTAGATCATAGGCTTGTCTCAGCTCTGCCAGTCTCAACAGTGTGGTGATCAGGAAGATGCTTACACCTTGGAAGCATTGTTTTGTCGTGGGTGAACTTCAGGCAGTTGAAGAATCAATGACTGCAGGGTCCCAGAATCTTAGAATGGAAAAATCAATTTTCAAAATAATGACTTGTTTTTCTTTTATGTTTCCTTATATCTTTTTTTGAAAGAATTTTTCCATAATCTTTAATTATTCCTGTTGATTGGCACATGATTATCAGGAGTTGTTTGGCTCCCCCCGCCCCCAACTTAAAGCAGAAAAGCTTTAACTCAGCGGAAATGGAATGTCAAGGGTTTCCTCATTACCTCCTGTCAGGAGCAGCTCTGCTCAATCCAATCTAGCACCAATTTGCTATACTCCTAACGGCTGCCCAAATCACAGCAGAGAATGCTAGCTCAGATGCTGGCATTTTCCCAGAATTTCTCTTCAAAATGGAACTGCCACGTAACATCTAAAAGTATCAGTATTTTGACCAATACTAGTTCCAAGAAAGGCTTCTTTTCTTTTTCACACAAAAATGTTCCTGACATAAGCAGTGTCTGTTGAGGCCAGTATCTTGCCTTCCAGCTTGGCTCATTGGCTATTGGCTCAGGGTTCATCACACAGCCCTACAGCTCTGATTCAGTGCCCAAGAAGCCAGCTGGGAAGCTTAGAAGTCTAACCCAGGAGTGAGAGTTTCCACTTTTCATTCTCTTTTCGGGGAGGTAGGATATAAATGGACCCATAGCTACTTTCAGTAAACTTCCGTCCTGAGGTTATAAAAGACTGTGTCTGTTTATACAAGGATGAGTAAATAATGCATTCGTCTGCATTGTAGTTTATCTCAAAGTAATTATTGAAATTCCTAGGCATCTTTGTCTAAAGATTAGGGTAGCATTTTAAAGATATTTCTTCATTGCAAGTTATTTGTATTCTTCAAGACATAGCGGTTTTGGCATGAATGGACAACAATGAAAGATATACGTGCTATTGCCCAATTCTTTCCTCTGTTTTATTTTGGGATAGCTTAAGTTAAATAAAGTAGTCCTCATGTCCTCAGAGAATAACTACATTATTTTGAAAGGAAAATTTTAAACTCAAAGGCCTAAGGGGCCATGGTGCTCATTATTTTTAGCTCTCAAATATCTTAAGAATGTGGGATTCTAGCATTTAGGAAAGCTAGTTCTTCTGAAGCATTTTTAATATAACTTTACACTGTGGATCCCAGAGATTGTTCTTCAACAATCACAGTCTACAGTAGTGAGTTAAAGCCTCAAGGAAGTACAGCCATCCTTTCAAGAAGGCATCTGCGTATTGACACAAATCACTTAGTGAATATTTCTGTGAGTTTTCAGCTTATGATAGAAGAAAAGGCCAAATCTAAATGATTTCTCCATCTATCTGTTCCTAAGAGCTGGAAATGTGTGTCTGAAGACCAATTTAACCAATGGTAACATATGCTCTATTGTGAGCACACTGAGGAGATTTAATCATAAGAAGGATGGCTGAACAAAGGGTGTGTTATTGAGATGGTATACACATTAATGCAGTTGCCCCAAAATGTTAAATTCTTCAGATTGCAGTGGAACATCACAATAAGTAAGAGGAAATTGGTTTGCTGGGAGTGCAAAGCACCAACAGGGGCAATAAACAGTTGTGAAACAAACAAACAAACAAACAAACCAAATCAAACCAACAACAAAACGAAGAGGTGATTAGGCCTGAAATTTCCTGTATCCCTCAAAACTAATTTCTCTTAGTGCAATTGATATCTAATTAATTTTTGCTAGTATCCATATGCATTGTTGACAAACAGTAAACTGACTACAAATCTAAAATTTCTGAACCTCGTTTTGTACTGATTTACATATTCACCCATCATTTCTCACTGTAAAAATATAAGCCTGTTTTGTTTTGCTCCAGCCAAATGAAAGTCAACACTGTCATCTCAATAGGATTTTCTGCTTTCAGAGCTGGGCTGTTGGATTGACATATCATAGTTTGTCTCCTGATTGTATCTTCCATTATGATTTCAATTATCTCAGTGGTGTGCCATCCACAGAGAATATGTTTATCTTTCATTTTCTTAATCCAAGTCCATTACAAATCTACCAAACAGAACAAAATGCAGACAGAAAAAGAGAGCTCCCTGGAGCACATGTGTCTCCCTCTGGTTGACACTCACTTTGACTGCCACAATTTAACAATTATCTACCAGACATAATGGAATGCTATCCCTTCAAGTCAGAGGTCCTCAGAGGTACTCTTCTTTGATGGGTTGAGGTATTTTAGATATCCTGTGATAACCACACTTTTTATAACTATACAGATCAATCATAAGTTTACGTTGTATATTGTACTTAAAAATGACAAAAGTTGACATTTTCATCAAAAACACTTACTTTTCCCTCACACTATAATCTAGTGCTTTATGATCAGATAAGTAGGAAGCTCTGAAGATTGTCATAAAAATGACAGCTGATGACTGGACATTCCTGTACACTTTCCTTGTGTTTATTTATGTGGTTGTCAGCCTGTAATTTACAGAACAGCCAATTAAATTGTTGGATTGCTTGAATTTTATTTTCAGAAAAGCAAAGTGAATTTGAATCCTGGCACAGAAAAGGCTGACTCATTTCCTCCCGTGTGTGTGTGTGTGTGTGTGTGTGTGTGTGTGTGTGTGTGTGTCTTCTACTAGAATTCAAATGTATTTTACTGCAAAGTAAGTGCTATTGATTTAAATGGAAGCCTGAACATTAAACAAAGGAGCAGATAGAAAATCCACTTAGTGTGGCAGAGCCCATTAGTATTATATTTCTACTCTTAGTGTACAGTAAGTCATAGGTTTCATTTACTTCAGGAAAACATCTTCTTTTTATTCTTTCTAATTTCTTGTAAAAGAACATTTTAGTTACTTTAGTGTCCTGTGCCAATTCTTCTGAGCTGATGTACCAGGTAGATCTTCGGATGTATAAGGCATTTTAACCCCAAGCGTTTATTTTTAATTTTTCCAAAGATGGCTGCAATCATAAATTTTTAAACTTAATTTAGCCTCTTCTCGTAAATAGAGCAATAAATGAAAATAAGAAACAACTCAGTGTAGAAATCGAATGATCTAGTACAAAGGTTAAAATAGTTTTAAGGAGTCGGGCCAAAGACTGTGGCAAGGGGTATGGAATATTACTGAAGGATGATCCATCTTATCTTATCATCAGGTGAAGTTGCTTGTCATACTGATTTCAGGGGAACCAACATGAAAGCACATGGGTTTTGAGTGACAACTCATCAGGATTCATAGCTTAGCATCCCCACTTGTGAGCTGGGCAACCTTTAGGAAACCAGGGTCAATCTTTTTGTCGTCTCACATTGATGAAATGGAGATGATCTGGCATGAATTACTAGGGAAACTGAAGCAAAATGTAAGCTGATCATACTTAAAACAGGCATATCAAATGCAGGTCCATTTGAAGTAGTTATTTGGACCCTCGATGGAGAATGAGGTGCAGCCATGTCCATTTCCATTAAGGTCTTCAGATTTCAGCAATGAGGATATGAGGAAAGCATCACTGTGGCTGGAAAAAATCCTGCTGCAGATCTGACCTTGCCCAATGGGAATGAAGTCGGCTCTAAGGGTGCCTGGTCCTTCACAGCTTGGGCTTACCACATCTTGCAAGAGAGACTATGTTTTTTTCAGTTCAGCTACAGCCAAACCTAGAAAGTTTTCTTTGATATTCTGGTCCCCTTTCAACACAATCTGGTTGTAGCTTCATTTCACCCAGCGGCTCCTCATAGATGCCTTGCACCCCTTTCTCAAGTGAACCAACAGGGCAACCATACATAGTGATATGTAAGTTTCCAGAAAGCATAAGAGTGAAGTGTTGACTATGGTGAATTTGGATGCAGACACAAAGTGTGCAATAAATGTCTTGTCAGGGGGCTGAGTACACTATATACACACAACTTAAAGGCAGCAGAGGTAAATTAGCAATGATTGTATTGTGTGTATTGTGGTTGTGACTCAGGAAGTTCTCAGAACGAATCAGTCAGTACCCGTCTGCCTTTCGTAAGTACGGTACAGAAACTGAAGAAAAGGACAGAGGGGCAGGGCATTTGAGCTGCTTACCAGGCCATCTCTACCCCATCTGTCTCTTGAGAACAATGGTTCTCAGCCTTCCTAACACCGAGACCCTTTAATACAGTTCCTCATGCTGTGGTGACCTCCAACCATAAAATTATTTCATTGCTACTTCATAACTGTTATTTTGCTACTGTTATGAACCATAATGTAAATATCTGATATGCAACTCCAGAGGGGTTGCGACCCTCAGGTTGAGAACCACTGCTTAAGAGCATTTCTGACTTTTTGCAACTCCTCTGCAGGTGCTCATCACATCTGCTGTTCTAAATCTTGGAGGTGTTTTTTTTTGTTTTGTTTTGTTTTGTTGCAGGGTGTGTGTGTGTGTGTGTGTGTGTGTGTGTGTGTGTGTGTGTGTTTTTTCTTTCTTTCTTTTAGATTACATTTT